TTTGAGCAGCTCAAGTCCTAAGTATCAAGAGAGAAAATGTTTTGTATCAAAATACTTATGGACTTAACTAGCTGGTGTTGAGATGAGAAAGAAATTAGCATATTGATTCACTTCTTGTGACTCAACTAGATAGGTTACATCAGATAAGGTGACAACTCTGAATAATTGTTAGCAACAGCACAAATACATGTGGCGTTGATTTAAAATCTCAATTATTAAATTAACTGTATATCTGTGTGTTTGTTTTTGTTAATAATTTTGTATCTTTAGAATTTGGCATCCCATCAGCCTCAGCAAATCCTTTTGCAAATACTGACATACAGAGTCTGTTTTGAAATGCAAGAAGAGGTTTTAAACTAGAATTAAATTAAGTTTTTACCTATATGGCAGCAAATAACCACAACCTCCCTTCAATTCAAAGATACCCTACCCCTAATGATTGTGTTGTTGCACAATCATTAGCCAAACAAATTACATTAATTCAAATCTGAATAAACAATTTCAAATGTTTAAAAAAAAATGGTTGCCGAACTAAGGGAACTTATGTGTTGGCATCCCATCCTGAGCATACAGAAGAGGATCATGAAAACTTCTTACTTATAATAAGGAAAAACTTCTGGTGCAAAAGAATGGGACTTGAGAAAATGGGAAATAAGTACCATAACAACAGACTATGGACACCTGCTGAGAAAGAGAAACACAACTTAATGACAACAATCTTATACATATAAAGTAATGAGTGATTAAAGGTGCATAGGAGGTCCCACAGTCATTTGGGCCTTAAGCAGAATATTTAAGTTATGTGTTAAGGTTGCTCAAGCCACCCTAAATAAACGTTTAATCAAAAAAGGTACGTTTTATTTTTTCATGTTAGGCAAAACACATTTTTAAACATGACAAAGACTACATTTAAAGAGGAAGTGTGAATAGAAGCAGGATGAGGCACACAGGATAGAAAACACTAACAATAATAAATGCATGAGATTCAAATGAGCAAAAAACAGACCAGCAGCTGCTACAACTGTGGACAAGCATTGCAGACAAAATGCCACAGTCTGAGTGAAAATGCAAGGTAGAAAACCTTAAGGAGCACCTTTAGGAGGGAAAACATCAGCAGCAAGAATCTTACAACTTAATGGTGGTGGTGAGTGAGTGTTTGTGTTGTGTGTTTCTTATGCTAAATATATAGCATAGGTATTACTCAAATTGCATTGAATAATGGGGACGGAGGGCTGTCACAATTCCTCTGCTCCCGTGTCCAGAACTCAGCAAACAGGCTACAACTGAAGAGTAACCCCAGCAGATCATGGAACACAGGTAGCTCACCTCAGAGACACCTAGTGTCCACCTTGAACATAGCAGAGGAACGCCCCAGACAGAGCTCCCACGACCATGGAGCAAAGACCCCAACGTACCAGTTACAGCTGAACATCCCAATAAGCCCCAGGCCACCCAAGCATGGACTGACCCAAAGAAAATCCCATCTGAGAGGACCACGCCACCCCAGAAAACCAACCACTGTAACTTGCCCTCAGCAAAGCATCCAATGGCAAACTAAAATGCACCCACACGTGAGTGTAACTTCATGATTTTCTATTTTATTCCTTTTTCACCTTTCCAACTTCTGAGAACTACAAAATACTCCGTTTCTAAAATATATTACAATTGAATCATTAAAATATGGAAATTAAGTGAGGTTTATATGGGAGTAGAATCATTTAAAGTCTACTCTGGATTTAGCCATTAAGGCAAATTAAGAAATGATAAGATGGGAAATGTGATGTCCTACTAGCTTTTATCAGAACTCCACTAGCAGAACTTTGGATCAGAGGCTTGTGTGAGAATTTTCCGGGCAGCCCACTAATAATGAATTGCTTTAGTGCACTATTGAAGTGACAAATGCATGGACCACATTTTCTGAATCACTAACAGGATGTTTCTAATTTTTATAATATGTCAACTTGTCACGGAACAAGGAAGCATCTTGACCGATATGCAGTGACAAGAGACCTTCAACAATACTTATTATTGTACAATGTTCTGTGGTGGTGCTGGGGAGTCTGTTGTGAGAAGGAAGAAACAGTCTAGATCGGGTGTGAAGAGGATAATCCCAAACAGGAGCTGGTACTGTAGGAGGGCACACAGGCGGACAGAGGATGGAAGTTTCAGTTTAGTGATGATTTGGTGATCTGGTAGCTGGCTTACAGGGAAGGTGTGCTACATGCCACAGGGGGGAACACTACAAAAACATAGAGATAATTATTTCAAGGAAAAACACTTGGAAAAGACTAAATTCTCTGCAAATTCTCATTTTTAAGACAAAAGTTAACTTTAAATTGGAAATGGGAAAATGATTAACCATCAGTCTGGTTTAAGGGTTTAAATTGCTACAAACTTTTATTGATCTTTTCAATAAATATGTAAAATGAACAGTTGCTTCTTTGTTCTCTATTGTACCTTTTAGTAGAGTATAGTTGAAATTGTTAAATACAACTAGATAATTGATTTTAAGTCTATTTTGTAAAGGTTGGTGTGCAAGACAAGACCACTGAGCTCATTCCATTCTTGACCCCTTTGTGTTGGCTGCATCATCCACACTCAGTCTTTTTCCAGAAAGACCAGTAGGATGAGAACAGGTTAGTCTGTGACTCCTGGTTATCTCAGTCTGACTTTCTGTCATGAAGGCTATGTCAATAGGGGCACATTTTTAACATATTTCAAATTGGACGGTGTAGGCAACATGTCTTTCGGTGTTAAAACAGAAAAAAAGTTTTTCTTTACTTGTCATTTTACTGGTCTTTGTTCGTGCTTGGCTGTGTTCAGGTCCCTTTACAGAACTTTGTTTGGTTTAAGGTTTGGATTTTAACTGGATCAATGAAATACCTAATTCTTTCATTTTTTTTCTGTCCAGAATTAAACAATCTGTTATTAACTAGCATTGTAATCATTCATCGTTTAACCGCTATTTCCATTCTCTACCTGCCCATACAGTTTTATGGTCTGAGTAGGGTTTACTAAGAGTTATCACTGTTGGCATGTCTCAAAGGGGGAAAAAATCAAGGGTCCAAGCTTTTGCAATTGATTTACCAGCAGTCTCACACTTTAACGATGATCAAGTGAATAAATGTTTAAATCTTCACCCATATTTTTTAACCATTCTCCTCCTGGCTGTACCTCATATGTCTACACTTGAACTCAGCTTGAGTTAAAGTCTTGTTCAAGGCATTTTTGAGCTTCGGAACGCTTGGTTAGCTGCTACAACCGGTTAACGGCTTTACTGTTGCCAGGTTAAATGTCATGACAAAAACAGTTACAGACAGAAGTCATAGCAGCACAGCCTTGAAACCGGCACAGAAAGCCTGTTTATAAATCTCCGTTTTAACAAAAAATTGTATGAAGATTAAAAAGAGCTATTGTCACAAGCTACCTGCCTCTAAAGTAGCATAATTCTAGTTATATTCAACTTTTGTTTAAAAAAAAAAAAAGGTTTCTTCATTAGATGTAACTCTTTAGGTGACATGTCTTTGAATTTCCTAAATGACTGGCTGTATCTCCCTTCCAATCACTTCTGAATGTCTGACCTCTTTTGTTTTGTGTGCCACATTGCCCAGCAGCGAAAACATCTGCTTTTATTAAAACTCTTGATCATGGCTCATTTATCAGGTGCATTTTCTAAGTACCACCTATTTACTCTCTCAATTCCCCTAAAGGAGATAAGAATGGCCTTTCTGCATCCTCTTTCTTATTTCTGGTTAATGCTGACATAGAGTAACAATTCCTTTTTTGTTTATTACGTACAAATGTGTAAAGTTCTAGTGTTAAAAGAGGGTATGTTTTTTTCATTACACAACCCCAATATTCTTCCTAACACTACCACCGAAATTATTCATACCCATTGCAGGCTGCAGTTAAACAATTGTCTTGTGTTCATTGCAGTGTGCTATGACTGCTGTAACTATGCAGTTAGTGCTGCTCTCGCTTGGACTTTTTTCTATGGTGTTATTACTTAACGAAAATGTAGGCATCGAATGAATTCCTGCCGGTTTAAGCATCAGATGGGATGGGACAAGACCTGTACTACTCTCTCTCACTGCGCTCAGACCCTAAAATCCCTGCTGACTGGATGTCTGGTGGAGAGGGTGCAGACAGCCGACACTAATCCGGCCCCTCAAACACATGAAAACAAACACACACACAGACACGGGCTCTGCAACACACAGACAAGTTGTGTTTCATATCGAGGCAATTCATCATGTGATGTTGGGGGTTGATATTCTGCATGCATGCGGTGTCAGCTTTTTTGCATTTAAGTGTTTCTTCCTGGGAAATGAAATGAAACAAAAAAATGCTGCTTAAAGTGATCAGACCAATGATATGTGAGCTTTCTGGTTAAACTGACAGTTCGTACACACAGACAATATATGTGTCCTGGCCATATAAATATATATACTATGGGGGAAATAAGTATTTGAACCCTTGCTGATTTTGCAGGTTTGCCCACTTACAAAGAATGCTTATTTTCCCTCATCAAATGGTTATCAATTTTTATAAATTCATATGATGTGATTTTCTGGAATTTTCTTTGGGATTCTGTCTTTCACTGTTAGAATGTACATATGATTAAAGTAATAGATCGATTCATTCTTTGTAAGTGGGCAAACCTGCAAAATCAGCAAGGGGTCAAATACTTATTTCCCCCACTGTATATGGCCAGGACACATACAATTTAATCTAAAGGGCATTTAATTGATTATGTGAAATTAATGTTGTTTTTAACATAATCTGCTCTTGTAACCTATGTAATCATTTTAAAATGCTTTGAATGTTTTTAATTTATGTGTGTGTATGTATACATATATAGCTACAGCCTCCTTGCAGGATGTTCATAAAACAGAAACAGTAGATGCTGCTGCTGCTCTGGTAACCCCTCACCTAGATCATCCCTTTGTGCACGGCGCGCCGCAGGCAGATATCTCTACGCTCTGCCCAGCTGTCACCCCCGGCATTGGTCCACCAAGCAGACACACGTAGGCGTGTATCCGACCAACCCCCTTTTTTTTCCTCCTGCAGACTGTGGAGCCGGCGAACGGCGGGACAGCCAGGAAAGGAAAGACCGGCTGCCGCAGCTTTGGACCAGACGGATAAACGGACAGGGGTCCCGGAGGTAAGAGTAAGTAAAACATATAACTGTAGTCGGACAGAGTGTTTTTTTTGGGGGGGGGGGGTTGTGGTGACGAAAAGACGGAGAAATGATGGCTCCGTTCTATGGCGGCTGGGAAGGGGGAGGATGGGGGTGTTTCAATGATCACCCCGTTGCCGGGCGAAGATCTCGGAGGTACAGGGCCGTATGCAGGGACTTTTTCACGGGAATTTGACCAAGAAAAAAACCTTGCAGACATCCATTTACCAAGTGCTGCATATAGAAAAAAATGCTCATTGATTCATTTGGGTCCAACTGCTTTCTTTCGTCGAGGAGGCTACGTTAAAGCCGTCTTATAAGGATTCATATAGCAATAATTTGGTCTTATTAGACGCGTAGATGTGTGCAAGATCATACTGCTGATATTTAACATCGTAGAAATGTCTCTACTTATGCTTTTTCTGCGTTTAAGTTGGAACAAAACGAATTTCACAATCTGTAATGATCTCTTTATATCAATGTTGCTGAATATACATTTGGGAAATTCGACCTTTTCAATGTGTATTTTTTATTACTTTGTGTCAAAAATCGGGTTGTTTTTTTTAATAATATATTCCCGTCCGGTTCAGTCCGTGTCAGTGAAACTCGTGTCCGAACACGTTGCTAGAACGGGGGTGTGTTCCTGAAAAATCAGAACACAGCCAATCAGCGGCTGTGCTCCACCCACACAGTGGAGCTTGTTTACTACGAATACTCGACGCTGATTGGTGGAAAGGTAGGCAAAGTCGGGCTTTATGTTGCGTTTCGGTGCACAGAAAAAAATAGGATCATTTATATTTTTTCGAATTTTAGAACAGTTTTGAGCACAGGTTTTCATTATGGAATAACAAATTGACACAACTTCTAATATGCTGCACACACACAACTATATGTATATTTAGTGCGGTATTTTATTTAATTTCATATGCATTCATACTAAATGTAGATTAATAACTTATTTTGTCACATCTCAGTTTTCTTCAGATTGCTTATGTGATTTACTTTGACAGCCTAAAAACACCACAGAACTCGAGAAACACTGTTAATAATGTATCATCACTGCACAGCTTTTGCTTTGAGCTATTTAACTATTTATTCACCCTCCTGTGGGAGATGTATGTAACATTGCCCCCATTTTTACCTTTATAGGTAATATGCTAGAGTCAAGCATACTCAGATTTTAGATTTGGTCTGTAGAAAGTCAGTCACATGCATTGTCACAAAAGACAACAGAATTACCAAAACAATCTGTTCAGACAGTATCTATATTCAACCAGGACCTGTAATATTTCCTACCCTCCTGTTAGCTGGGCACAGAGAGGCAAGATGGAATGAGTGCATTCATTTTTACCAATATTCACTTTTCTACAAAGCTGCTTTTGCACAGACCAACTTTTTTTTTCATGGTTCATTAAGTGCATTTTATTTCTAGCTCTATTGTATTATGCTTTTAAGGAGTAAACATCTTACTCTGCACATCTCAGATATTTTTAACAAGTTACACGAGACAGTCATTTTATATCATACAGAACTCTTCTTTCTAATTTGCTTTTTGACTGCTGTAGCATTTGAACTCACTGGACGTCTTAGTATTAAAGGGCGGTCAGAAACTTTGATTTGCTCAAATGTTACGTTGGTGTGTTGTTTGCAGGTGAAGTGACACAGGGCGAAGTCCCCACACCGTGTGCAGCAGCACCGTGGCAGCTATGGGACCAGAGGACCAAGCTGGAACTGAGCCAGGCAGGGCGAAAACGTGCCCGCTGGGACAACAGTACCGCATGTCTACAGTGGCACACAACACCAATGTGCCTAAAATGCAACAAATTCTGGTAGGCCGATCTACTTTTTAACGATATCTAATATTTTCTTAAAAAAACATATCATGATTTTTCACTTTTTTTATTCTTTCTATTCTATTAGTTGTATATAACAAGGAGGACATAACAATGAGGGAGTGACAACAAAGTTCAAATCCTTAATGAAAGAATCAAAGAATTGTCAAGCATAATAAGCTTTTTTCTTCTTCTGCATGTGACGTAACATGCTGCCCGGTCGGAGGCTGGCAGCAGCTTTTTTTCCTTTCTGTTTCACTGGCAGATTATGCTGTCTGCAGGCAGGATGCCACAGATGGACAGGAAATGTTCTCTTAACCGCTTTATTCATAGCAACATTGAGCCTCAGTTGCAGGGTATCTCATATAAACAGCTTAACACAGATAGGACTTAAACATGGGCCTAGTATGTCTGCCCACGATTCAACCTGATTTACAGGATGACTTTTTAACCATGACAAGACACTAAACTTTTCCCAACTTGATTGGGGTGCTCGTTGCAGAGCTGTGTCCATGGCGAGAAAGCATTCCCAGACGGGGGTCATCACAAGAGCAAGACATCAGGGTCGGGAAAACAACCTGTTCCCAGGCAAAATGTGGGTGCCGCAGCACAGCTTAGCAGCATGTCAGCCACAGGAGAGGCCCCATACAGGTAAGAGGACCTGCAAATAGTGGTAATATAATGGTCTTTATTACAAACAATGTCTAATTATATGTTATTTTGAATCGTCGCCAGTTTCCGGAGCCCAGAGTCAGTGGAGATGGACGAAATCATGGCAGCTATGGTTCTTACCAGTCTATCCTGCAGTCCAATGGTTCAAAGCCCTCCACAGTCAGACCCTGGACCAGGTTTGAGCAATTTTATCTGTATCAGATATAGCCTATATGCAAATATAGCGTGTCTAGGTCTGAGCATCTTAACATTAAGAGCATTATTTTAAGTGTATTTATTTTTTTCCTATTAGCAAATATTGTTGCAATATTATAATTACTTTATTGGCTATCCATATGGTTCTGTAATGTACAAAAAGGTTTTCCTTGTTATATATTTGCTGGAGAAGGCATTCATAACTTGCTATTTTTGTTATCTATACAGTTTTAGGAATTGATAAATTGATGCTCAATGTTAATGCTCAGATATTGCCTCTTTTGCCCGAACAAGGCTTGTCTCAGGAGCCAAATGGCTGCTTAATTGGAAAGTTATTGAGGGAACTAAGAGGACAAATGCTTTTGGATCTTGGTCATGTTCTTCTAGCAAGCTGGGTATATTCGCTACTTCCAAAAGGACATCACTATTGATCATATTCTAAATAAAACATTTATACAGTTCATGTATTTACACCGAGCTGAAAGTAGAAAATGCCATTCATGTTCTATTTAACATGTTACAGATCATGTTCTGATTCATGACTCATACCCACATTATGCCCCCATTTGATTTCTCCTATTATGTTTACAGCTATTAAAAGCCTTCATTATATCCATAACCATTAAGATATGGAGCATAACTTGTTTTTCCCCATCTCTTTCTGCACTAATTTCAAGGGCCCAGGGCATTTGTAGCCAGGGGGCTTTGTGTTATAGACTTAATTTAATGTGTCCTTGCTTTTGTTGCCAGCTTATTTCAAACTCAGTTCACAGTTTATTTGTTCTTTTTGCAACACATACATCGCACAAATGTAATTTCAGATGCACATCTCTCAGCTGTTCAAAGGTCAGACAGTAACTTTTGCTGACTTAAACTATTTTTTTCTGTTTTGTAACAGGAATAATAAAAAAAGTGTTTTTTAAATCAAAGAAATAAGCTTATTTAACCTCCTGAGACCCTGTGTCCTCATAAGAGGACGTTGCATTTTTGTCTCTCTTTACCATGATACTTCTTTTTTTCTTTCAGCTTTGACCTCTTGACCTCATAGCAGATGCTATCAGACACTGTTTGAAATCTAAAGTAAAATGGTTTTATACATTTCCATCCAATCATGTTCTTTTTGTGTGATAGAAAAACTGTAAATGAGTCAATGGGACTGTCAGAACAAAATTGTAAAAACATTTAATTAAATATGTATCTCATATATCTTTAAAAAAAAAGCTAAAATGCATGCCAAATAAAAGCTCGGGTCTCAGGAGGTTAAAAAAAAAAAAAAAACTGCTGTTCTTTTAAAACCTTCTTTGAAAATAGCCACACAAACTTTGGCAGCAATGTGGGTCATCTGCTGTTCTGCCTTGGATTGGCAGAAGGAAAGCATCAGAGAAAAAGAGAATGCTTCAGTTACCTATACAGAGAGTTAACATAAAGCTTTTGTTAAAAAAGAGTCGCTCCTGAGAAACTAAACCGTGATTATACTCTGTCTTACTGTAGTGGGGTCATCAACGTCGGTTGACATGGAAGGGGCCGGTGGTGAGCTCTCTGACAGCGGTAGCAGTGGCTACTGGAGCTGGGACCACAGCAACGTGAGCCCTGCCCCTTCGCCGTCCGTCACAGAGATAGACAGCAGCCCAGATGAAGGCCTACACATGGAGCTGGAGCAGGGAGAGGAGTCTACTGCCAAAAAGCCAAAGGTACGTACAGAATCTGTTTCTGCTCCCGGAAAAGATTCGACTGACGAGGCAGAAAATGGAGTATAAAGACTCCACAGCATTTTTTTCCTTTTTCTCCTGTCCTTGACTTCTCTTGTGCTGCTTCTCCCACAGAGCTCTGTCAGAAGTGTGTACAAGTGTCTGTGGCCAAGTTGTGGCAAAGCGCTCACATCATCAGTTGGGATTAAAAGACATATCCGTGTCATGCATCTTGGGTGAGCACAAATGTTGAATATTTTAATGACATGTAGCAGGCTTGATGCATTCATCAACGATTCAAAGATTCCCTTAAGACAGGAAAACCTCAAATTAAGTATGAAAGCACGATAAGTGTGAGGATGATCCCATTAGTAGATAATAAAATAGAATATTTAAAAACAAACAAGCAAACAGCACTAACCACCCAGATATAGTTTGACATTGTTGTTCATCATTATCTCCTGTAGAGATTTTTATTCTCCATTGCATCCATTTTGGTCTTTTTGCATCTCTTTGTGATGGTTTTGTTGTCCTGATTTATTACATTGTATTGTATAGTTCTGATTGTTTCGGATCTCTTCTTATCTTTGCACCATTCCTGATGCTCACTTCTCTGTGTCTTTTTTATGTCTTGGTTATTGTTTTTTCATTTACCATTTGTTTTTTGTCATGGTCATTGGCTGTAATTTTTGTCATGTTTCATGACTTGTCTTGGCCATCTTTTGTCTTTCTATGGTCATTTCACATCTCACCTGGACGTTCTTTGCTCTTGCTGGTCATTTGTGCATCCATTGGCCCCTAATTTGCCAGTCATATATGTTGGAAGCATGACATTTCTGTGATATAGTATACCTCTACTTCTTTTTTGTGTTTTTATGTCTCTTTCGGTGTACAAATTGTATGTCTTGGTAGAGAAGGGCATTCATGGCGCTCTGGACGTAAAAAGAAAAGCTCAAAGCTTTTTTGTAACAGGACAAAGATTTCCTAAAACCAGGAACAGAATGTCAGATGAACAGTGATTATGATATTTTGCAATATTTGTAGTCAATAGGTTATAGTCAGATGCTGCTGAGCAAATGGACTTATGGACATTATTTTGTCAAGTGTAAGTTCCTCTTCGTATAGAGTTTGTCAGCTTTTCTGGTAAGATGAAATAAAGTGTCATTAACACAACGAAAAGGAAGTTGCAAGGATCATAGTGGGGTAACTGTTGCGGCCCATCAGTCTTAAAGGGAAGGGCTATGCCACCAAATAATTTGTAGTTCAATATTGGTTTGTTATTATAAGTGAGAATAATCATACACAAGTGGAAAACACTGAGCACTGATGTGGAGTGTTCATCCTCAAAGAAAAAAAAAAGTTCCATCTCAGACTCTACATGCCTCAGTTAGCATGTCAAATGCTACAATTCATGACAGTACAATCAGAAAGGGTTGTCAGTACTGTATAAATTACATTTTGTCTGAAAATTGAAATTAACTCAGGAACTATAGGTGAGAGTGAAAAGGATTGGAAACACAAACCGTGAGAACTAAGGCAAACTACAAAATGAGAAGAGGAACTAGGGGGGGGGAAATTCTGTGGCAAAAGAAGCAAAAAGGAAAAGAACCAAATTACATGGAAAACTCAAAATGAAAAAAAACACACCAAGTCTACTCTTTGAGTAGACTTGGTGTGTCTACTTTATAAAAACATAAAGACACTGTCCATAACCTGCTGTTTAAATAAGTGGGTTGCAATACCGTTCCCTTCGGATCACGCCAAAGTTAAAAATGTGAGCACAGCACTGTCTTACATAATGAAAATAACTTTATTAAAAATCTGCCATTAGTAATTCAGAATTTTAGCTAACAAATTCCTAAGCAGCTGTTCAACAACAACAAAAAAACCCCCCCAATTTAAACACACAAATCTGCCGGGCCAAAACAAAAAGCATGGTGTGCTCATGTGGAGAGCATTCTGGTGACTCAGCGTATCCACTGGATTTTTATGTATGTCATGCATTTATTTATTCAACTGTTTTTGAATAAACAGTTGAATAAATCGTCATGCCACGAGTATGTGGCATGACTTGAATTTCTTTGATATCTGTTCAAATAATTAAATTAAATATCTGGGTGGTCATCATCTCGTTAAGTTTTGTTTAAAGCTTTATTATTTCAGACAGTACAATTGGTTGTATTTTTGCTTGTACACAACTTTATTTCTTGAAATTCTCTAGTCAACTTCATGATCATGCAGCTTTGATGCCAAAATAGTTTATTATATAATAGTTGAATAAAGAGCTTATAATGTCCGTTTAATCTATTGGTACCTAGAAGTACATTGCCATTTGAAGCAATTTAGTTCAAGAGGTTTGTGTTTACAGTCTTCGATCACTTTCCAAACTGAGCTGGAGCAGAAACCAGACAGTTTAGCCCTTTTAGAACATTTCTCAGTGGCAAAAGAGCATAAAAATTAATAAGAGGGAATAAAAATTTCAGGTTGTGAAGAGCACTGACTTGAGATGAAGGGATCTAGGCAGCAGTTAGTACTGCTTTTAGAAACACTCCAAACACACCAGTCACTGTTTTTCTCTGTGTGCCCATTGGTCTGTCCCTACCACACACACAGCAGTGGATCAGATCAGTCCCAGAGGGAGGAGGACTTCTACTACACCAAAATCTGCTGTGAGACGGTCGAGGAGGCCCAAGGCCAACCCTCGTCCGTTCATCTCAGCTGGGCTGCTTCTGGTTCGTCACCAGGCTCAGATCTCCAGATCCCCTTGGCTCACAGACCCAGATCCTACTCCAGCTCTGTGCCTGGCTCAAGCAGGCCCAGTCCCCTCAGCCAGTCAGCCCCCAGCAGCTTCTGGCAGATCCACTCTGAGCATCTTTATCAGGTAGGTGCAGCAGTACTGGCAGCAACACTGTCAAAGGCTAAATTAATGATTCACTATAGAATTTGATTGCCTTTAAACCCTCATGATGCTTGGTAAAAAAAAGAATATATTGATTTGAAACGGTACTCCTCATTCTATTGAGTGGGACTCAACTGTCAGTCAGTGAGATTTAAAAGAGCACCTTAGAGAGTCAGAGTCTAATTGAAATTCAGTTAGAAATTGGATAAACAATCTTAAAAAAACAGTGTCAGGATATTGAAGAGCATTTTATATTCTTAATGTTGCTCATCATCTATAGTACGTATGACCATCAAATGATTCAGATAATTAAGAAACTCTGTTAAAGGGTCATGGCCGAAAGTAACAAATGTATGCCTGGAATCCTTGGGTTCTTTGTTGTATTAGTTGTATTAAAGGTAGGCTTGATCCAATCATGGAAATCGCTATATGAGCTCAGGAAGCAACTGTAACAGTTTGTGAACACAACAGTCCAACCAAGTTCTTTAAAACAAATTAGGTCTTCCCATTTTAGAAAAAGACATATGTAAAAATGATCCAGAAATGCGTGGATGAATGAATGGGGAGTAGTGATCGAGTTTATCTAAAGCCTGCATCACTGATAGTATCCAGATTGTACAATTTCAAACTGCTACAATTATATTGATGTGTTTCTGCCAATGAAAATGAGCTAATATTTGTCATGGAACAGCTAAATGTCTTGCTTTCAACATTTAAGCTGTCTCCCTTGAGACTTTTAAAGTGAATGCATTATTTGGAACTTCCAATTCACATGATTTCTCAATCTTATTCCAAATTGTTTTTAGTTTTTTTCCCACAAGCTATTTAAATTGTTTCCCGATATATGGCCATATCGAACTGTAAGTAAACCTTTTGAAACAAAAATGTGTGTTAGCAAATTTCTTGTAAATAGAAAAGGGTTATGTTTTGGGGACTGCAGAGGAACAGATGTAGACTGCACTAGACTTAAATTATTCAAATTTTAGTGAGAGCAGGATTTTAAACATCACAATTTCTGTGTGTATTTCCAAGGAATCAGCTGAAAGTGAACTCATAGATGAAATCATCAGGATTCTCCCTCATACAGAGTCGCTCTGTTAGGACATTAACCTCCTTTGACTGGAGTCTATGTACAGTCTCATGTTGCATTGTCATAGTGATGTTTCCGAGGTCTGTCTTACCCAGTGCCTCCGAGCAGACAGCCCTTCTAACGAGCCAGCCAGCGTTGTTTATGCATCACAAAGCAGCACATTTCACTGGTGACCTGCATTTACCCTGGACCGCAGAGCCTGTAAATGGATACTTTGTGGCAGTGAGCGAGCAAGCTGTCTGCTTTGCCCGCTCTACTAAGAAGACTGGGCTCTCACCAGCCCACAAAAGGCAGAAGAAAAAAACACCTGAATTCTTCCTGTGCAGATGATCTGTGGTCATTCCCGCTCTTGATCACTTGAAACTGATTGAACTTCGAACCTCTGAAAATTTTCTTCTTTTGTTTATTTTGGATTTTGCTTTAAAAAAAAAGAAAAGAATAGACAAATTAGAAAATAACTATGACTGTTATGGATGTTGGAAAATGAGCCCAATTTTGCGCCTCATTTGTCTTAGATTTCTTCATTGAGGCAGAAAATGTATTGAGTGTTCTTCCTGGGCAGTAGGGCGGGTTGAATTGTGGGTCAGTACTACTGGTGTTCCTGTGTTGTTTGAAATGCCTGACCACAGAGTTACACTCACGTGGGCATGAGTTTTCCTGATCTTGGCATGCTCGCTGTAAATGCCAGGGTTAACATGGTGCATGCTTCACATTTAGCTTTGCTGGTCGTTTTCTTTCCCTTCCTTTCAGTCTGTTTGTACTGGATGTTTTAAAAGTAGTAGCTCATGTTCTGTTTGTTCAGAATGCTTAGCGATGAACTGAGAGGAGAAATGGTAACAGCTACAATGGAAAGGACCATTAGAAGTGTTGAATTTGTTGGCATTTGTGGGAAGCCAGTCCAATCCACAGGATTCAATACTTAACAGTAGGTCAGTTTTACCAACAAAACCCTTGTAGAATTATCTGCAATGGTCCAAAAACTCTATCAAGCATATTAGCACTTTCCAGATTAATGTTGCTGTTCAACAGCAAGCCTCTTTATCTGTTCATCTAGAACAGTGTCTGTTGTGATGATTGAGCATTTTCAAAGCCTTTGCTGAGTTGTTTTTTAAGTTCCTTCTCTTAGGATATCAGAAATTGCACAAATTAGATCAATTTTAGCTTCTGACAACTTGTGAAAAAACACGGAAAGCCGTGGGTTACATGATTTCCAAAAACCTCCACCTAGCTCTTATGAAACCTCTTCATTTTGACCTGTAAGGCATTTGCAACCAGAGAAAAATCCATTAAGATACCCTCCAGAATTGCAACATCACCTGACAAGCACATTTACAGGATTCTCAATTAAACACCATGACGTGCAAAGACACTCCTATGTGCAAACTGTAATACTGAGTCAGAAAAAAATGTCACACGGGGAGCCTCATTGATTTCCTGTTCAGCTAAAACAGTCAGTGACCCAATACTATGCATTTTTAAGCATATGTTTTATTTATCAGCATACTTACGTTAGATATTGTTTTAATAATGATCATTTGATAGTAGTGACACATCTTTAGGTTCTCCTTAACTAGGCTGTGAAGACTGGCTTTTAGAGACAATGACAAGACTGGCCAAAAACACTTTTAGGGTTAATTTTGTCATCAACAATCTGTCACAAAAAAAAACTCACCTGACATCTTATCTAGCTCTGTGTTCAAGTTAAGATGTATAATTTATTCTTGTAATTCACATATGCAGATTATTCCAGGTTAAAACATATTGGTCATTGGTCATATTTTCATGTGTTTTTATTTCTTTATCTATTTATTTTTTATCGTCAAAATGTCCCATGATTCTGAGGAAAATATATAAATTGTGCATTGCTTACAATTTGTGTTATCCATGAGGCAAACATCCCCTCATGATGTTTTCAAAAGTTCTGTTGGTATGATGTATCATGTCTGCTCATTTGTACCTTCACCAGGCATGTAGCCCAGTCCAAGTCTCCATGGCTCCCAAAAGCCCATGCAGTCAAGGTTGGACCCCGTCAGCCTCCGTCTCTGGCCACAGTAACGCTCAGGTGGGTCTCATAATGTGGTGTACACGTAAACAGAGTGCTCTGTGAATGCAGTTATCTCAAAGAAGAAGTTTCCAACTGCCAATATCAAATCAGAATAAACATGCTTTGCAGCAAAGGGAGAAGCTCAGAAAAGTCTGTCACAGAAGGAAGAAGCCACCTAGCATAAATATGTCTGTCCACCACATTTGGTGTTCATTCAGTCTGTGTGGGGAACAGGAGAGTGTTTTTTAACCTATTCAACCTTTGACCAAATACTCCAAATTAATTACAGAATCTTTCCAACTGTGCACTCACACGTGTAAAACCGTACTTTTTGTCTCTCCCTTCCTGGACTGCTATTGACCTTAATGCATGTTTGTCTCGTCAGATGGTGAAACCTCGCTGCCGGTCTGTCAGTGTCGGGGAACAATGGCTTCAGCAGAGCAGGCTGCAGCCAATGAGTGCATCGCCCTCCCGTACTCACTGCTCTTTCAGGTATTAAAACTTAAACACAGCTTAGAGACTGCAGCTATAGCTGAGCTTCTAAGCTCACTAAATTAGCTCAATACCATTGTTTTGTTGATAAGAATACTGATTGTAATACCTCAATGTCCCCTCTAAAGCTAAAATGCCCAAATTGACTATTTATTTTTAGCCTAAATCCCTAAGTCTGTTTTCACAATACCCATGTTTTGCCTATGTTCTGTGTTATTTTTTAATTTTTGGGTAAGAAACAAACTCCACAGGAATGGTATATTTTATTAAGACATCCAGATTCTTGGCAGATGTGTCAAACGAAGCACTTCTCACCGTGGGTGTCTCTTTCTTGCAGGAAAGGTCGCGGGGAGGCCAAGAAGTGCCGTAAAGTGTATGGAGTGGAGCGCAAGGATCAGTGGTGCACCGCCTGCCGCTGGAAAAAGGCTTGCCAGCGCTTCCCCGACTAAATGCTGCTGAGTGAGGGAGACCGAGCGAGCATGGTTCGACGAGTGTGAACAGAGACTTTTATCAGAACGAGAATATAAATCAGGGCCCGAGAGCCATCAAGAAAAACACGTTTTTTGGAGTTTTGTTTTGTTTTGTTTATTTGTCTGATTTTTTTTTCTTTTATTCATGAAAGAAAATGTACTTTTGTGTATCTTTGTATCTTTGATCCTGAAAACTGAAGTCTGCGATGGTGCTGTTGACTGACTTTGACAACGTGATGTGAAAGGCCTAATATACTCTCCTACTTTATCCAAAGGTCATATTAGTGCCCCTGTAGCTCCTCTGTGTTAGACTGCTACTTGGCTGTTTTCTTTATTCCAATCTTTTCTTCCAGTGGCTACACAGTGATGACGATGTACATTATATTGCGTACTTTGAGTTATGTACGAGTGTTTTATACCTTTTTTTTTAATCGTCTTGTTTAGCCCATATATTGGGCAGACTGTTTTTTTAAATGTTTTTTGCACTTTGTTGGAAAATTAACTCACAAGAATAAGCTAAATTTGGTTTGACTCAACCAAGTTCCTTCCATGTAATCGATTTCCTTCCTGCCCTGTACATGAGCACTACCAGTGTTAATGGTTTTGTCCGTGAAGCTAATGAGTCATGGCAGCGGGATTAGCATTAGGTGAATGAGTTTGTATTAAAGGAAATATATTGTCAAATACAGTAAAAAAAGCACTGAGAACTTATGATGCTTGTCCTTATTCCTGTCCTCTGCATAACAATCCACATGAGGAATAGCAAACAAGTTTATTGTAATTGGGTTTTTTTTCTACTTACACTTAGAACAAAGGCTCAGCACAATAGCAAGTAAAATGTCAAATGTGGTGTGAAATTAACACCAGCAGCCAAATAAATTGTGGCAGAAACACACACATCTGCACATTTAGACGCTACAGTCGCCTACACTCTCATTAGCATTAATTGTTATATCTTTCAAGCAGAGTAGAGACTAGTAAAGACTTCAGCACTATTAAGATACAAGCTAACGGATTTGACCGGCTCACAGTGGAAATCATTGTGATGGCAAAAAGTAACTGACTCTTCTTTTTTTACAAATAAGGCAGAAACTTATTTTAGTTGCAATAACTTCTCCAGACACAGAGGTGACTCAATTATTCTTAAGGGAACAGAAAGGGATGGATTTTAGAACTTTTTAGTTTACTTCTTTGCCACAATTTGGCACACACCCATTGACCCAAGCAGCTTGGGCTACTTGCATAAAACTGAACAAACTGACTGCAGGTTAGACATGGACGAAAGGGAAACTAGAATTTGTGTGGGACATTATGAAAAGTCCCAGAGTAGGCCATGGCCATTGGTGTTTTTTTTAAATTGCTCTAAAAAATCAGTTAATGAGTCCCAAAATTGTGGGTGAAAAAAGTTCCTTGTGTCTTTGTAAAAAAAAATCCAAATCCCAAAAAGTTGGGAGAATAGACAGAGTGCACTGATATTGATATTGACACATTGATGGCATGATTAGCAAAACAAAATATAATCTTTCCACAATCTTCAGAAAAGCAGGGATCTACAAATTGTGGAACTATGTCATACTGTTGTATAATGTGAAATTGCCATCTTTAAACATGTCTTCATCAACAGTGCATGATATAAAAATATTTCAAATATGGAGATATTTCTGTGTGCAAAGTACATGGCTGAATATTAATGTTGGACTCTCCTGATCTTTGGGCCTTCAGGCAATATGGCCGCATAAACAGACATTCTATCATGGAAATGACAGTTCAACAGTCCTACAAATGCAGCATAATACGCTTTCATGCAAAGAAGACTCTAGAAACTTCTTGGAACTAAAGACTTGCATGTTTTAGCAAGACAAATTGGAGGTATAAACCGCATCCATTAGTTACTAACCTTTCAGCAGAAATTTAACGAAGTGAAACCATTCAAAGACTTCAAAACACATAAGATATAATAAAAGATTGGACTGCTGAGCAGCTAAAATTCTATCCAAGACAATAATGGGACAAAAAATACCTCCCAAATGTCCAGCAGGACCAAGATGTTTATACACTACTGCACATTAATTAACTTGTTCATCCAAACCTTCCATCAACTATAAGATAAACTCATTGTCTTATATGAAATTGGGAAATTTTCTTACTCCCACATGATGCCTTCCATGTTAATTGTGGATTGAATTTTTTTAATGAGATTTAAAAATCATTGCTTCTGGGATTCTTTAAAGATTAGGCTCAGTTTGTATCTAACTCCATCTTTCCTTACTAGGAAATATTCCTACTCATAGTCAATAACATGGAGGTAAACTGGACTAGTTGTGTAATATCTGCTTTATATATACAAGGAGTTGATGCCCGGCCATACCCACTTCATTATCGTGTTGATATTTTATGCTGATTTCAACATCTTTCAAACTATAGAAAATGTTAACATCAACATGATAAACAGGGTACCAACTGCAGTATTTTTTTTCTTAAACACTAGAGGGCAGCTTTGTTCCACTATGAGGAGCCCATGGGAGTCTGTCAACCTGCTGCTAATCCACACAGAACAGCATCCCTTGCAAACATTGCGGCAAAAGATTCTAGAGGAAAATCTCAAAACAATAGCTAAAGAATATAAATTAACTTTTTTTTCTGTTATGGCAAGACTGATGGCAAAGATTCTGCGGAGGAGGGAGGCAGAGTTTATTTAGTTGAAAAACCAATTTTATCTTCATTGTGTTTAATTAATTAAATCTCTTATGCAGAAAATTAGTTTCTTATACCAATAATTAACAGTTTGTGCTTCAGCGATCATGCTGTCCATCCACATGTAATCCTGACTTGGCGATCTGTTAAACACAGTGCTTCTACATTTTTGTTTTACTCAAATGCTTCTGGTATTTCTTAGCACATTTTGTCCTGTTAATTGTTTCTATTAGTTCTGTCCCAAAGCCACATCTGCCTTATGAATGTGAAAACCTGTGTACTTTTAATTAAATGTAAAAGTCCAGTCCATCCATCCCACAGACATGCTTGCAAGTGCATTCAGCACTATTTTAATAAACACAACCTTTGTTTTGAAAAATCCCACGGTGAGCCAGCTTTCCAATCTCATTTGGCCACTTTTATTATACTGACACACAAAAATATATTCAATTATACTTCTCTAATTCTTTTATTTCACAGAATGGCATGTAAATATGCTTAATAAGAGGGACATCAAGGTCAAAACATTCTTTGTTTTAAGAGACACAAAGAGAGGTGCAGGGAGATGGAATCTGTTGTTCTGATCACAATGCTGACGTCACAGTTTCAAGTGAAGGAGCTGCTGGAAAAAATGATTGATAGGTCGAGGTAACCGGGGCAGGGCTCAGCGGCAACAGCAGAAATATATTACAGTTTGTTTTGCCTCCAAACTCGAGAAATGGGGACGTTGTTGAACCTGCCGCTGCGGCTGCTTCTCATGCCCAGATACTGCCTGAGCAGCTGGTTCACCCGTTTCTGACTGTTCCATTTGCGAGCAGATTTCCGGACACCTATGAACCCACCGTAGCGCTTTTGTAGGGGCCTCATGGGTGAGCCGATCAGCTTCCTGTATCCATGGCGCCCCCTCTGAAAGCCGCCAAAGCGTTTGGATAAAGTGACGACCTCTGCGCTGTCATCCTCATCCCCGTCCAGAGGGCCCACACCATCTGCATTCCTCTCCTCCCTCTCCTTCCTCTCTTCATCTCTCGCATCCAGACCCTCCAGGCTCTCTCCCTCCTCAGAGGATTCCAGCAGTGATGAGTCATACTGGACACTGCGCTGCTCGAAAGGTGTCTCATCCTGATCGTCCTCTTGGAAATGCTTTGTGGTAACAGACTGCAGCAGCTCACTGTCAGAGTTCAGGTCAATAGGGGTCAGGTCCAGCTCCTCTGATCTTCTCTTGAACAAAGTGCCCCCCTCAGGAAGAGTAGGGATGCGCGATAGCTTTGTGGCACGTTTACACACTTCCCACGTGAGTGACGAAGAGACATGACCCTCACACTCTAACAGACATACCTGCAGGGGGATAAGAAACAATGACTCATAGTTTAGAAACCGTTAAATGATTTTTTTTTATCTTGTTCGCAGAAAGATTAAAGCAGCAAGCAGGTCTTGGACCTAATGAGAGGGGAGGACCTTAATCAAAATGCCTGTGGAAACCTGTAGAGCATAAAGGTCAAAGGAAAATATATGGTTGTAAGAGGAGCAATAATAATTCTAAGAACTCAGTGTTTGAAGTTTGTAAAAATAAAGCACTTCCAAGAGTAAATTAATTTTCCTTTCATTTGAGAGAAGAAGCAATAATGAACATCCAATAAAAGAATATAAAAATGTTTTCAGCCAGATGTAAGACATAAGATGATAGTCTGTCAAATCTAGGATTTTAGGTCCTCAGCTACTGAAAATGCAAACTGTCTTTTCATCATAGATTTCACTTTCAATTTGAAACCGGTATTATATCAGAGGCTTTACAAAACTGTGATTGTTACTTTTGAATTCAAAAGTGAGAATAACCAAGTGTCACTCCAATGCCAAAACAAAATGAGCCAAAAACAAAAAAGGAAATCTAAGTTGAACGTCATTGATATTCTTAAAAGTATCCCAAACTGTACTGTGCCAGGATAAATAAAGATTTAATCACCAGACTGAGCAAGTAAGTAGCCAGTAAGGGTTGAACAAAAACTACCAGAATAAGACAAGTGCTGCTTAGGCAGAAAATGGAAAATAGAATGCACATCCGGTAAAAAAAAAGAAGAAACTTTTGTCTGAGAGAGCAGGTATGGTGACTGGTTAATACAGTTAAGCTTAACAAAATGCTAACATGGGAACAAAATGTTTAAGTAAGTATGAGAAAGCATAAAATAAGACCGTGGCTATGTCATAGAAATTAACATGTGAAGCAGTTAAAACTGTGGCATGGATTTGGTGGGTATTGAAAATAGATGGATGGGAAAAAATAAAATCCTCAAACCACAAAGAGTGGCTGCCCTAATCACTGTCCTTGAGCTTTTTAGACTTTAGCTAACCGCAATCCCTCAGCTTTATGAGCCCTCTTGTTGATTTGCACACTTTGAGTTCGGAAGCCAAATGGTTACATTAATAATGCTTCACAAGCGGGCTGATTAAGTAAATTGTTTAGTTTTATTTTCATTTACAGACACCGATAAATACTCCATATACCTAAAATACTTAAATATTTTCTGTCCAGGGAGTTGATGAGCCTTGTCCCTGCCGTGTTCAGCGTCTATGGAAGGTTACAGGCCTATTTGAAATGTCCATCAAGTGACAGACGACATCGGCCACTGCAGAATGATTGACAGCACAAAATTGGAAAACATTACAAACCAGTCTGAAGGACAGCAGGTAAATGATGTCTTTCGATGCAACTATTCATTTCCATTTGACTTCTCTACTCTGATGGTGTATTTTGCTCTTGGAATATCTTAGAACTGAACTTTTGTATTTGAAATAAAGTCGTGTTACAGTTTTAATGACTTTCCTGTTTTATAATCATCGCAGTTGACAGTCTGATTTCATGCCTAAACTTGATGAAGGACATCAACTTTGCCCGTTCAAATTTAAGGACATGAGCAAATGTAATGTAGGTGAAGTATAATAATAAACATTTTCTGGTGTTTTTTTCAGGTTTTATCATGTAAATAGTATGACATCAATCTTTTAAAGAGCTTAAAATAAGACTGGATTATAAATAATAAGAGTGGATTATCTATGCACATAAATATAGAGAATCCAAATGAACTATTATTTCTTCTGACAACTACGTCAGAAATTAGGCCACGGCTTAGGCACTATGGAGACTTACGCAACTATATCTCTTTTCTTCGCCCCTTTCAGAAACTCCTGAGCTCCCTTAGTAAAATTTCAGTTTAAGCTAAGAAGAAAATCCCATTTGCTCATCAAATCTAGCTCAAACAAGATAAATTGCATTGTTATCACAAAACCTGCTCACATCAAAGGAAATAGGGAAGAGGGAGTTCCGCCGTGAATCTATCAACGGAAATTAATTATCCATCGTAAATTAAGTGAGCACACCAGGGGGTTCTCCACATCAGATCAATAGAGCAATCTAAAGGATTTTATGAGTGAGAGGATATAAGTGTGCATGAGCGTGAACATGTGCATGTGTGAGTAAGTACTCAAGTGTTTATATACATGAGATGACAAGGGTATAAAATGGTTTATGTCTCTGAGATGGGTTTACCTCTTTTTTTAATCACATTTGACAACAAAAGACAATAAAATGGTTTTATATAGTAATATCTTCTTTTTATAAGTCACAAAAATATTTATCCTTGTTCAAACCTACACTATTTGTAAGGCTGAAGGCTTGTGTGTCTGCAAACATTTTTCTGTACTGTGTATATCAAGTAGACTTTAAGTTCTTGTACAACTCAGTCTTGTAATTTTCAGAAATTTTCAGAAGCTCAGCTATTTTGATGTCTTCATCACGGTGGTGCTTATACTCTACAAGTCTGTGGCATCTTTGAAACATCTTTGCTGAAGTAACATAAGAGCAGGTGACTTGAAAAAACTGGGCAAAGTGACAGAGAAACTCTGGTTTTGTGCTGGGGACTGCACTGGAGCATACGGAGTTGACTGCACAAAGAGCATTGCAAAAGTTGCTAAACACAAATGGCAAAGCTGCAATCTCAATAATGAATATGTGGGTAATCATTTTTGCTCTCTAAAAATTGCGTGGAGAACATGCAAACTCCACACAGAAGGGAGGATTTATATGGTAGGTCAAGTCAGTTAAACCAAATTTAAATAAGGCTTCCTACAGTGCATGGTCTAATAGAAAAATAGAGAGAAAAATTTGTCGTGTTACACATGTGAGACTGGATGGTGTTTTCTAAAACAAAGATAAACATATCATCACAACTGTGTGCTCAAATAGAAACACCAAACTAACATATGTATACAGACAACTTCATTAGAGGAATTCTTTACGCCATTTTCTGTTGAACACAACCAAAAACAGGGATTGCAAAGACTGAAACATGGAAACAAATGACTATCAGATTGGGTGCATTGCTTCCTTATATGAAGTTTATACTGTGCTTTTCTGAATTTATTCCATCTATGCAACCATCCATTGAGAGCTAACTTGACCCAGACTTTTTCTTAACCCACACGTACATATTTATTGAGTATCATACATTTATAGTAATTAATTAAATCATAAATATATAGAGCTTTAGTACAATATGAAAGGTTTAGTGTAATTTTTTAAAAATGTATTCATTTTGTTGGCTCTTATATTCATATTTCAGTTTTCTAAAATATTTTAGAAGTGTTCTTTTAAATATATGTTAGGTCTAAGTTGCTCATTTCTAAGCGTCTTGCTACTCATGATTACTAAATACTTACAGAACTATTTTACAGGAATTTTACATAATCAGCTACTGATTAAAAGCAAAATCTCTTTTAATTATCACAAATATAAACAAAAACTGACATTTAACTTTGCAAATTCCACAATGTAATTAATACAGTCAGCGGAAGGCAGGGGGTGTGTGATTTTGTGTACGGTATGTATCTGTGATCGGGTGCAGGAAGGAGTGTGTAGGTGTGTGCAAGAATAAATCAGTGGGTCCTGACATTATAACAAACAGCATTGGCCTCACACACCTTCTTTCCCTCTAGAGTGGGAAACAATGGAATTGCTCAGCGGATTCCATCTGTGGCTCAATGGGAAAGCGGCAGACACAATGAGGAGCTGATAAAATGTGTCAGTCACCGTTGTAAGCCCAGGCTGATGATACTGAGGAGCAGTCAATTACATAGTTCCATTACAACTACCAAAAAGGTCCCAGCTGTCTTTCTCTGCATCATTATCAGCTAAATTAACCATCCAGCAGCTATTCATGGATGCCTACGGACTATTTTTATCCAGTGACGTGTTTTAGACTGTTTGGAAATGAGATTGTGAGCTGTGCTGAAGTTTTGTTTGAGCACAGAATGCATCCTGTCACGAAGTACTCATTCTTATACAACCACATAATGCCCCTCTTACAAAAAAAAGCCAATATTTGGCCATTTAAAGCCTGTATCTGTATTGTTTTGTTTTTTTTATCTCTACAGGTGTTTTCAGTCGAGAAAAGTGTGATTAATCTGGAACTTTCATAATCCAAACACACTTTGGAATACAAAACACAATTTGCTCACAGATGCCCGTTTTCTGTAGGCAGATAATGCACACAAAGAAAAAAACAGTCATCTTGCATCATAACTTCTTCAACCCCCTGTGATAGGTGAAGACGGTGCAACGCCTCCCATCAGTCAAAAGTGTGCCTGTACAATCTCAAAACTAACTCAATTTAGTTGTTTTCTGTAAGTGACTCTTCGTTTACTCATCTGCTGTCTCTTGAGACCATAAAAAGTGAACCACGATATTTTAAGATGCTAATGTATGACAGAAAATAGAGTATGTCACAACAAACTTCTGACTCTCTGTCCCCGTGTCTAACTGGTTGATTGTGCATCTCCCGGTTTAGGATTACTTAACTGGACAATCAAATGGGACAATGTGAATTTAGTGAATGTGAACTTACACAGACCCAAGCCAGCAGAATGCAACCCAAACATTTGTGGAGAGGAAGCGGTAAAAAAAAAGTACCTAATCTTGGCCTGAATATCTTTGTCTTTGTATTTTTTTTTTTTAAAGACAAGGTCATTACACAGATGACTAATAGGGAGAACTGTCTTAAGCAGACAGTGTATGCTTACGGAATAATTAAAGGGACTGTGGACAGAATTAATGTGCTAGTGTACAAGGCTTCAGCTTAAGAGAGGTTTTTTGTTTTCTTTGATGCAGCACTTATCTTGTGTGTGAATGAGCTAAACGACTTGAATCTCAGAGCAAATACTTGATGATTCAAATGTTTGTGTGTTTTTTCAGCTTTTATTGCCATGTAATCTTATTATTTTTCTAACATAAACATGTATTCATCAATAGCAAGTTTAGACTCACACCTTTTTCAGGATTCAGAAGATTGTCCTACTGGCAGCTACCCGCAGACTAATGATGACAAACACACACATACTCACTATTGTATTGAAGGCTTGTTGCAGTTCTTGCTCCTGCAGTAGCAGACCGCAGGCCACACAGTCTCCCTGGCAGTCACAGCGTCCAGGAGTGAAGAGACATGCCAGCAAAACCAGCAGGCTCCACAGAGGGACCTTCATCGCTCAGTACACCCAGACAGACAGGGATGAACAGGAGCCCAGATGGCAGAAGAGTCTACAACAAGGGGTCAACAGTCGGAGAATTTGGGATGTAAAGCCTTAGGGATCTGGCTCCAGCCTAAAGGTAAACAGAAGAGAAAGTGACAGCAAATATTTCATCAGTCCCAACTTATACAGAGAATAATCTGCATGTTTACGGTCAATCAGAGCGTTGGTGGTGGAAGAGTGTTCACCCAGCACCATGAGGTGGACAGTGTAGGTGGAATGGAGAGAGAGCACAACCCGAAGCAAAAAATGACAAAATGGGTATTTTCCAGTGGGCAGGAATCATCCTCTGCAGGCCGGAGGGCTGCTTTTACAGATTGGGCTCCTAATCGCAGCAGTTGGACTGTATGAGTTTACACATGGTTGTGAAGATAAGCATTGAATCACGACATGGATCGTACCCTGTGGCAAAAACAGCTCATAAATCACTATATTATTCCATCTGATAGGATATGAAAGGACGGAGAATGTTGACAAACTGGGAATTTGAGAGTTAAGAATAAATGTGATGAAACTTCCGCCAAAGAATTGTATGAAATGTTGCATGCATGAGTTGGCAGAGAATAACTAGGTGGATAAATTAATTCAAGGCAACCCTGTTTCTGAACCAGCTGCGCTGTGTTTGTCGCTTGACCTTCACTCCTGGAAACTCTGTCACTCAGAGCTATATAAGAAAACCACTTTCAGAATAGCGGCATTTCATTCAGGTTGTATCATTTTATGCTTAAAACATAGGACATTTTTTCAGTTAAGGTGTAATTAAATTAGCCCTGAACTGAGAAATTAGACCTAAACTGTACCGTAATTTGGAAGGCAGTAACAAATGGGATCCAAATCCTTATTAAATGACGAGCAGTTAGTGTTCAGCCATAGCTCAAAATACACATTAAAGTTTCAGACAATAATGAATGATTGTCTTTATTACCACAAATATTTTTGCACTGTTTTTCTGTTAAATTTCTGGTTGAAAAGCAAATCTTAAGGATGATTCATGAACAATGCATTACATACATAACAAAACATTTTATGTCTGCATATTACCAGCACTATTGACCAAGAGTCAGTTATTTGGCAATCAAAATATGAACTGATTTAATGAGAAGTCCTGATTCCAGACCATTCCTTGGAAGGGGCTCAATGTCTATATAAAACAAAAAAATTAAAATAAAAAAACATTTAAAAAAACTATAATTAAGGTCTTCTGTTTTCAAATGGAACACATTTACATTTCCAGTGCATCACAATTAGTCAATAATATCTCTGTCTCCTCGACCCGCTATTAAAAACCCTCTGATGGAGACAAGTGGCAGAAGCAGTGGTAGGTGACAGCAAAACACTCCCACTGGGAGTACATCATATTGATGCACGCAAAAGAAAATCTTGATAATGAACAGGACGTTTGCAGTTTTAGTGGGTGCTCTGAGTTAAAAATAAATGAATGGTTAAAACTACTAAACCATGAGCGTTCCTCTCTGTCATATTTCCTCTAGTAGTCAATGGTAGAAAGAATAGGTCATGAGTGACTCTCACCTATTTATAAAAACCTTTATGGGAATTCATAATGGCAGCTCTTTGTTTGCTTTAATGAAAGTTATGGTGAAATGATCATTTACCTGCTGACTAAGTCCATTTCATACTGTTATGTGTCCCCTTAAGTGGCCTTTTACAGGTTGAGAAAATGAACATGAATTCAGCAGTACAGTACCAATGAGCGTGTGGGAGCTGGATGTAACCCCTGTATTAAAAAGGTGTAGCTTGCTTTCACACATCACTATTTTACCTGAGTTTATTGACATGGACTAACATTTAGGGCCTCAGTGTTTTTGTCAACACCATAGCGAACAAAGTCCTCCCATCTATATGTTTTAATAATTAGACATAATACATCCATTTTTGTCCACCAGACATTCAAAAGTTCATTTTATTTTATTGTGATTTAGGCTTTCAACGAAACAATAAGGGACCTGTATTACACACTAAGGAGCATAATCAGTGTCCTGTGTCCCAATACATCCCACTAAAGCTTTAAAACTTCTGCATTTGAATTACCTAAATTTTGTCGCAAGGGACTTTTTGTAAATAGTTTTTGTTCTTTTGTGCACCAAGCCAAGAACAGAAGGATGTTTTGTGTTTTATAACTGTTGATTACGGTGGCCCTGAGGTGCAAAACACTACGACATTAACGAAAACACTACAACATTGACAAAGCACAAATACAAATTCAAAAACACAACAACATTAACGAAGCACAAATACAAATTCAAAAACACTACAACATTAACGAAAACACAACAACATTAATGAAAACACAACAACATTAACGAAGCACAAATACAAATTCAAAAACACAACAACATTAACAAAAACACAACGACATTAACAAAAACACAACAACATTAACGAAAACACAACGGAAATGGTATGTCCCAGTGGGTGACCTAAGAAGTCGCTGATTGGACTACAGCTCGTTTTACTTTTGAACCGGAAGTTATTCTGGCTTTAACGTGTTTTTTAAAAACATGAATGTTCTCCGTGATCCAAACCTTACTTCTGCTATTCGAGAGTATTTTGACTCAGGATATACATATGAAGTGATACTGGACATGCTTCGGACCAACCACGAAGTGTCAGTTAGTATGCGTTCATATCTGTGTTTTTCAGATGTGAAGTTAGTTAGTGACGTCTATCCCGGCTCACAATGGATGAGAGGAAGGTTACACAAACATCGAAAGACATAGACGAACAATTGAAAAATTGAAATTGAAATTGAAAGCCTTTATTTTCATTGTACACAGTACAATGAGATTTGTACCACACATGTCAGATTTTTTGTGAAATTCAAATTCATTTGCGGGGTTGTTTACACTTCCAAACATATGCGATGCGTATTTGACACTCAGTGTGAACTGCAAGTGATAAACTAAACCTTGATACACTAAAGGCTTACAGAGAGCCCAAATATCGATTGGCCGACCCGCCCCGGGTTTCCGGACGGGCAGCCCCCCTTCAAAATTTCTTCACTCAATAAGCACTTCCTATGGAGTGTTGCCATGACAACAATAAACAAAGCACAAGCTTAGAAGTAGCTTTCACCTCATCCCTTATTTATAAACAGTAAAAATATGTAACATCTATTACTCCATTACGATTTTTGAGTACTCTACCCACCTGTGTGTAATACTAAAATTAATATCACAAATATGTATTGTAGTACTTACTGCAGAACTTGCAAAATTTGCTTGGCTAACATATATCTTACATGTATGTTACTAAAGTCACCAGAACTTTGTTTTTCACATGAAGAGTTTGGACGTACTTTACAAATCCTTTTTAAACTCAGACTGTATGCTTCCATGGATTTCCGACCGTGATCAGCTTTCGCTGTACTTCTTATCTGAAAAACACAGATATGAACGCATACTAACTGACACTTCGTAGTTGGTCCGAAGCATGTCCAGTATCACCTCATATGTATATCCTGAGTCAAAATACTCTCGAATAGCAGAAGTAAGGTTTCGATCACGGAGAACATTCATGTTTTTAAAAAACACGTTAAAGCCAGAATAACTTCCGGTTCAAAAGTAAAACGAGCTGTAGTCCAATCAGCGACTTCTTAGGTCACCCACTGGGACATACCATTTCCGTTGTGTTTTCGTTAATGTTGTTGTGTTTTCGTTAATGTCGTTGTGTTTTTGTTAATGTTGTTGTGTTTTTGAATTTGTATTTGTGCTTCGTTAATGTTGTTGTGTTTTCATTAATGTTGTTGTGTTTTCGTTAATGTTGTAGTGTTTTTGAATTTGTATTTGTGCTTCGTTAATGTTGTTGTGTTTTTGAATTTGTATTTGTGCTTTGTTAATGTTGTAGTGTTTTCGTTAATGTCGTAGTGTTTTGCACCTCAGGGCCACCTCATGGCCACCGTAGTTGATAACTGTTGATTATTTTCAGAGAAATTTTTCAGCAGAAGTCAACGTTCACAATTCTGTGTGAGTTCTATGTTAGTTTTCACAATGATTTAGGATACATTGTCCTATAGATTTCCCTTTCTTTTTTTCTTTTTTTTTTTGCTTCAATCAATCAAAACTAGTAACGAATAGCCATGTCTAGATGTCAAGGTTGATCAGAGATAAAAGAATTCATCTCCGACATAGAAAGTTGGTATTACAAGGATCTGTGTTAGACAATTTAACCAAAGATAATAGATAAGGGTATGGCAGATGATATTTTTTATATCAGGTACATCTGTTTGCACATCTTTTTGCAAACAAATAAATTAACTGCTACATTTCCCAATAGTTCATCCCATTAACCAAGTGTGCTCAATGCACCAATAAGCAACCTCCTTTGAGAGGAAATGTGTCAATTTGTAATCTGTTCTCCTAATTTTTGTTCCACTGTAGACTGGTATGTAACCTGATGAGTCATTCTCTGTTATTCAAATATTTCCATTTTAGTTTTTCCAATTTCCTATTTTTAGCTTAATGCCACAGTAAACTCAGAACTCTGCTGTGGACATTGTAAGAAAAAAAATGTTTTTTAATGGAAGAAGTAAACTTAAAGAGATTTCTCAGAGAGGACATATAGGCAATTGCAGGTAAATATTTCATATGTATGTTCATATCTATATGAGCTAGTTGTGGAGCAGGTTCTTTGACAGGAGGAAATGTTAAGGGGTAAAATGAAATGGCTCAGGCTAGGCAGGGCCAGTATTTGAATTGGGAAAGTATAGAGTAGAGCTCAGTTGGAAGGAAATGTGGAATATGTAGGATAATAGCATTAGATAATTTGATAGAGGCAACATAAGCTATTTAGCTAAATCCCCAGACCTAAAACCTGGATAGACCTGGGTAATGTTCTTAAATATTGAATCTATTGAGTCTGCTCAAGTTTCTTGTTATATTACTTTTAATTTGACTTCTTCTCTGACTGAACCAGCAAGGGATGTAACAAACATCCTATATTTTTGTATTTGTATTGATATATTTAAAATCTACAATAAACTGATATCTGTGAGGACTGAAAGTTTTCACCTGCTCATTTTTTTGTGGTCCACTATCTTTTCATGCAGTACAACACACTTTACTTGCCCATTCAATCATTTCAATGCATTTTCCACCAGCAGTTAGCAAAGCGTTGGGTCATAAAAGCCTAATGAATCTTATGATATAAAGATTAATAGTATCATTAATGGTCCCTGAGATGTTACTAGAAGAACAGAAACTTTAATCATCTTTCCTAAAGTAACCACATCTTCATAACATCTATGGTGGCTTTTGGCACAAGCTTAATGAAAGACTCTCAATCACCAATGGAAGAGATTGGAATTTTGTACAATATGTCCATTGCGATAAAAGATCTTAGCCATAACTCACAGTGTGACAATGGGGAAAGAAAAACACTGGGAGGTGAGTGGAGGAAGAAAGAATGTGTCAAATGGAGGATGGCGCTACAAGAACAGGAAGGTAGATGCAGAAGAGTAAGCAGGAGGAAAAAAGAAAAAGACAGACACGTAAAGGACCCCTAGGTTATCTCCACATTAACAGACTCCTTTGTGCTTTTTCAGCTGTATGCAGACATCTAATGGATGAGATAGAGTGCGTCATAGCTTTGTCAGAAATAAGCACTGAGCTTTTCTTCTCAACCACTCACATCATGACACGTTGACACCTTTTCTACCCTTCATTTAAACTGCGAATGCTAATTTACCTTTATTAATTCACCTATGCAAGATTGTCCACAATGGATGAATACCACTCTGTTCCATTTGTTGTTTGTTCCCCTAAAGCTCTCCCATAGGTGGTTCTTTAAACAGTCGTGCAATTTTGAGAAGGGCTGAATCAAAATCACAAAAAAGAAATGGTGAAAACGGCCACTTTGTTTGGTACATCCATTTTAGTTGGACTAAAAGTACAAATCACATGTAACATAAGCCTTGATATGAAGAGTCCCTTTTTAAAACACATTACATTTCACAAGGGAAATTTTTAAAAGACATAGTTTCCGAACAAGAGAAAGTTAAATGGTCCTTCTCTTTTCTCCTTCAATTCAAAGGTTAGACACATAATATTCTCTTGTCTGAACTCCCTACTGCTTGATCAGTGAACCATAAATGGGTGTATCCAGACTCCTACTCCTGTGCATTATCTGCTCTGACAAGAAATACACTTAGATAACAAAACCAGATGCATAAGAAGAGCAAAGGCCCTTTCGTGAAAGTTCTGATTGCTTCCTCACTGATTCAATAGAAAGAGCATTTCTCTTGAAAACATGTAACATTTTCAAGGTCTTAGTTAACTCTAATGGAAGCACACAACAAAATATTTGCTGTGGAAAGGATCAGGTAAAAGCATTCGTTTCTACTAAATGGAACAGTGCGTTTAAAAATAGTACAGCATCTGGCTGTTCGTTAAAGTCCATTTTCTTTTTGCTTTCAAGCCTGCTTTTATTGAAGAAGGCATGACTGTTTCAATTTACATATGATGGAGATACATTTTCAAATGCAGACCTTACTGATTTGTCCTTCTGAGTTTTCCGACAGATAATGTTCAACCTGGGGAACTGTTAATCGTTTGATGCACCATGCCACTGATCTCAGTTTTTCCCTTGTTTGGTACATTATACCTATGTTAGGCCCTTGCACTCTGTCAAATGGCACCCTGTCACAAAGATGAAATGCCAAAGGATAGCTGAAATACTATGCAAATTTATTGAAAAGGTTGACCAAACTGGCGAGTGGCAATATTAAGACCATTAGCTTAATCATTATTGAAATTGTAGCAGAGAGAGAAAAGCATATGGGTTAAAAGCTCAAAATGTCACACATAATGAATCTATCATTACCGTGATATTGAAAAGTTGTGCCTCTTCAAATTCTTGGTCCTCAGGAGCTCCTGGGTAGGATAACAGATGCATTCCGTAATACATGCAAATCGGGGAAAGAGTGAAGTCCCTAAAAATGTCAACTAGCTTAAGTCATCTAATTGTGACTTAAAAAGTACACATGATAAGTCAATGCCATCTCTTCGGAATGGTCTAAACACTAACTGTTGTGTTATCTTTCCCCTGCAGGATTGGCTGTTCAGGGTGAGACCACTTTATCCCCAATACATGAAAACTATGAAGCCTCTGGCTATTTTTTTTAGAACTTCAGTATGAAATCTTAAAATTAAGCCAGCTCAACTAAACCCTCCCTCAAGCACTCTGGATCAGAGACATTTGGAAAACTCCTTACAGGTGTCTTCATTCTCATCATCAAGTTTGATTGGGGTTTTTTTTTTTGTTATTCTAGTGAAATATGACATTTCTGAAGAGATTTAACTTTCTTGATCCCAGAGTGCGAAAATTCAGTTGTTACCCAAGCTAAAAGGAAAGACAGAAAAGTCTAACACAGTACAAGAAAAAGGGTAAAATATGCAAAGATTACATTAAATTAAGCACAGAAAACACAAAATGACAGAATGACTGGATGACAATTAAACTGCTGAGTTACATATTATTTTGGTGGTGGGAACAAGGGTCCATTTGAGAGGATTTAAAACACACTCACTTTGATCCCATTTGTTGCACATTTGTTGCATCACAAAATGAAGAAAAAGCTAATAATGAGTCAATATGTATGCTACTGAATCTATACTAAATTAACTAAACAAATGTTACATGAAGTCAAGTCCAAAAAATACTGAAATGAGGCAGAGTATTGTTTATTCTAACTGCATATCAGATACTCAATAACACAACACTATCTGATGCCAGAAAGATATCTTACAAATCAACAAATGGTCATTTAAAAATAACCAATGACATGACATGACGATTAAAAAAAAGGTAGAGAGTTGAATGTTTGTTACCGTACAACTTTTTGGGTGAAAACTTGATACTATCTGATGATCTATGCACAATCAATAGCTCTCAATATAAATGTACAGGACGAAAAGATGACATCACGCTTCAGATTGTGTGTATGCCTTGTATCTATGATTGCTATCACAATGTCTCTTGTATGTACAGACCCTGAGTTTATCCTCACTTATAGTGTTAATGTTAAAACTGTTTCCTTTAAAATCATATAACAGTTGCTGTCTGATCCTCACAACCAATTATTCAACATATCTGTCCATTGTAAGTGCAAACAAATCTGAGTTTTCAGTCCTTCTGTCATCCATAATATTTTCGAGTCAGAATTAATTTGCAAATGGTGATTGGATTTAGCAGGGGATCAGTCTTTGGTGCAACTTCTCAGTCCCTTCTCTTCTCTGCTTGATATAATTGTTTTTAACCAACCAAAACTAAATCTAACCAATCATCAACAACAGTAGATTGTGAGTATTTTTTACAATATGGTGCTAACCTTTAAATATATTTTTATCCTATATCAAAATGGTCCTACGCATTTCTAACCATGCCAAGATTTGTTTTGTTTTTCAGCCCAGCTAATTTAAATTTCTCATTAACTTTTAGGATAGTCAAAGGCAAATCTATTTGTATGACACATTCTGTGTACAAGACAGTTAAATGGCTTCACATAAAATATAATGCATTAAAAAGAAAGTGCTTAAAATGTTGAATAGGTTAATAAAATGATTTTAAGGTATCCTTGATTAAACACATTAAAGGTGAAGCGTGCAGATAAAATACCTTTAGTCATATGCCCAGCGAAATAAAACTGTTTTCGGCCTGGAGTTAAACATTGTCAGAGTTTCGGCCTGTCTCCCTTCATCAGGAAGAATGTTCCAGATTTTAGGAGCATAAAACTGAAACACAGCCTGCCCTTGTTTGGTCCTGACTCTGGGACAAACCGGAAGTTTTCAGTCTCAGAGAAAGTTGATACGGATCTAACATGCAAGTGATGTACTTTAGCGCTAAGGATATTTAAAATAAGCTCAAGGAATAAAAATAGGACCCATTTCTATCCAAATGATGGTTAAACTGATTATTACATGTAGTTACATCAAGAAAGATAGATTGTCAAGCTGAATAGTTTTTTTCTGCTATGTGATACATTGGGATGAGAATGTAGAAGATTCTGCACCGACACAATGACAGAACGTTATAGATCTGTTTTTGTATAACTAATTTTACGATACAATTCATATTTAACTGCTTTTGAACTCATCATTAGTGATTCATCAAATTGAAGTCAAAACGAATTGCTACTAATTGTCAATAAAGAAAGAAAGGTACCTCCAGTACCTAGCTAGCTATTAGTGACATGACGTTTATTCGTTACTTTTGACAAGGTAGCTGATTGCTAGGCACATTAGATTTGATTAGATGAAATAAGAATGGCAGCTTTGGAAAAGTCTTTAGCTCTTCCAGGGGGCCGAAACATTGTCTAATCAGAACCAATGTAGTTAGGTTTGATTAAAATTCCTATTCTCTTCCCAACATTCTATCTATGGTGGTGTCAACAAGATTCCTTTTCTCCTGATGGTAAAAATACTTAAAATACAGGTAAAAAGGAATTCTCAGAATGTTTCCCCAACTCTTTTATTACAAATTAAAGAGAACTAAATAAATGACAAATTGATTTTACTATTGTGGAGGCAGTCGTGTTTTTATTTGTCTCAACCTGTTACATTTTTAAAAACAGGCTGCAACATATCAGGGTTCATTAAGTGTTGACAGAAAAAACCTCCATATCGCTCTACCTCATAGTTCTCTGATTGCCTTCAAATAGACTAAACTCAAACTCATTTAAAGTCTCACCCCTAATGGAATGATCTTGTAATTGGTTTTTACTTTTAAAATTGAAGGGAACCCAAATAAATATAGTACTGCACTGCTCCAATTAATTTGCTGAGTCTTTGAATTGCAGAAAAATCTTCCAGAGCCCAAAGAGACAAAATATTCAATTTGTTTGGATAGCTAAAATAAAAAAATCAACAATCAATTTCATTATTAATGGTTTTCTATATAAATAACATGGGGAATTAATAATTTCACACTAGCAGGCTTTCCCATTAGTCATTTAGTTTTGAATCTTCATGTCCATTTCCCAACCAGTGAGAACTGAACCCTCCGGCAAGAAAAATGCAAAACAACTAAAATCAGCCTCAGATATTGGTTGCCGGTGCCCTGTTGTTCTGTCCGAACTCCAGTAACTGGAGGATTTACACTCTTGGCCGTAGGATCATCAGCAGCTTGTAAAACCACAGATAAACAGTATATAAATGGGTTGAGAGTTTAGACTACCAGCATCGGGAGGTATATCGTGCCCTTCCATCAGGATCCTGAAATGACCAATCTGAGCGAATGGGTTTAATCCGATTTAGATGTTTCTGCCACACCTGCAGCAAATTTCATGATTGCACTCATTACCTGTTGCATTCAGGTCCTATTATTGTCTCACAGCTGCACAATTGACAGCTCTTAAAGGGAAAGAGGTCCCTAATGGTGGTTTTGTGGTGTAATTGTGCTGTGGCATCAAGCATCTGCCAAACTGTGGACTAAAACATACAAAAGTTTTTTGTTATCTTTTTATTTCTCCCTGCAGCCTCCCCTTCTTTGTATATACTGGCAATCATAACTCCAGTCACTGTCTGTGTCTTACAATTATTTAGGAAATCTCATGATGCACACTGCTGAGGACACAAATTGAGAAGCAATAAAATAAATTCCATGATTTTTTTTCTTCCTCATTTAGCACTAAGGCTTTACAAAAAATCATTTATCCCAATTTATCCCTTATTCATATTTTGATTTAAGGCACCATCATTTTGTATGAAATGAGGGTATTATTAGTGCTATTTCCATCAATTTCGCTAGTGGGGTTTCTTCTAATTGGGAACATATTTTCACCAAAGTGTAGGTGCTCAACTGGGTGACATTCTGCATGCATTCCCAGCATCAGAACCGTCTATCGTAGTGGAGTCACACCAACATTCATCTTATGTAGCTCCCATGAAGCATTAATAGTCTGGAAATAATATCATTCTAGCACAGAGAGGAAGACAATGCAAGCAGACTGGCTATCTGTTTGGCTGATGAACTGTCACACAGGCACAAGCTGATTCAGGATTTGATACTGTGGACAAGATGGGTGTTTCGGGCTGCAGTAAAGTACGTTTTAGCAATCAATTCCCCAAAGTTACTGTAGGCAATGAAATTATGTAGTTGTAGTTGGTTGTAATTTGCTCAAAGTAACACCCACAAATATAAAGAGAAACTAACATAAAATAAAATAGTTGAATGAATATGTTAAAAAAAAAGCTTTTACTTACAGCTTTGAGAATAAACATAAGCGTTATTATACATATGTAATAACATATATATATTATAATCTATCCCAAACAGCTCTGACTATACAGTATCGCCTAAATTCTGCAGTTAAGCAGCTGACAAGGTGTCATCATTGATCTGGTTGCTCTTAAGCTGCGTTTACACCTGTGTGAATCCATTGGACATGGAGCCCCGAGAAAAGCAATCTAGCTCAACCAGACAAGCTCCTTACTTCTACCTATGTGGTCATAAAAAGTCATAAAAATTGGTAAACTTGACGGCTCACTGATGATGGAATATCTTCTTTCGTTATCTATTTTCTGATTCGTCAAACAGTGCGAGAGACATTTCCAGATTTTTTCAACAAGGCAGCAGAATTTATAATTATTTCGAGAAAACCTTTTTTTTAATCTTGAATATTCAAACCAGTTTATTGAAATGTGTAGATTTATCCAGTATAAGCTCCATTGAAATTATTAACGAATTTCTTGAATTTCAATATTTTTAAATTGGAATTAAAATGAACAAATAACTTGAAAGAATAGACAAAAGAGAACCTAAGTTGGCTGAATTCTAACAACTGACTAAAATAGTTTTTTTTTACTTAGATCTTTCTAAAAAATTATGTCTCCAACACTGTGATGCAAGGATTACATTCTCCATAAAACCTTTCTCATATATAGAGTCACTTATCCAAGAATGGCACATTAACCACCCATTTTCCTCTGGTCTCGATGAGTATCGCCTTAACTCGTAATGGGAAAAGATTATGCACATTCATTACCATTATCATTACAATCATCATTATTATGTGCTTAGCCTAACAACAGCATTGAGCAAAATGCATATAAAGCTTTTCCCCTTACAACAGGTTGACACTGGATCTACTTGACAAACAGCACTTCAGCTTTTGTCAGTTTCTGTTTGAGGCTTTTGTTTGATATAGTTAATATGATGTATGATAATCCAATATCAACAAGAGGACCAGTTACCATTAAGCTGCCTTTTGAATAGGTCACTGTGTCGCTCATTGACTTCTGTTGGTGCTGTTTTGGTTAATCTGGTTCATGAAAATAATAACATGAATAAGGAAATTGCAAATAGGTTTTAAGGATTTATTCCACTGGTACATATTGAAGATATGAATATATATTTTTTATGTGTGTATATATTCTATATTATATATGGATATATGTCTTATATGTGTAATCAAGTAATCAAGTCAGCTCTACACAGTACAGTAGAGTGTAGCTAAGTGCTTTCTGTTCTCTCTCTTAGCGTGATCTGGGATTTCTTTCCCATTAATTAACCCGTAATCAGGTGTGATGTCAGTACAGCTGATGGTGACTATGGTCCCTTAGACCCACAGGGACACAAACAGAGTAATGGAAAAAATAACAACAACAACAACATAAAGATCACTTCAGGTGAGAGAATGATTCACATTATCATCACTTTATTCCACATTTAAAATCACAGAGCCGGACTGAGATAAAGCAGCAAAGGTTGACTGGTTAAAAAGGAGAATTTCTACAGGGAAATCTTAACAGTAGTTGTTTTAAGACAAACAATATTTCTATTGGCATCTCTTAGTTGAATTGTACACACAAGAGACAACAAGTCCTCTACTAATTAAAAATATTCTTATCATCTGTCCACACAAGTAGATTCATATTAACATGAAAGTCACTTCCTTACCTGTAAGTCTGACGTAAAGATATCTCTCAAAGTCCTCCCTTCTGCAGGCACAGAAGAGTTTGATGGCTCAGCTTGTATCCTTGGGCTCAGGGTTTCAACAACTAAACACATGCCTCCTCTGTGGCTTCTTATAATGGCACACCCTCCTGGCTCAACCCTCCAGTCCCCCCCTCCCCTCTAGTGTACATCACCGTTCATAACACAGGAGAGCTAGAGAAAGAGGTGGGTTTCCCCATCCTTTTACGCACAAACTCTGGGCATACACACGAACCACTGGCCTACAGTGACGTAGGAGTCATTGCCTACGCCACAAATTTCGTCTTCACTGAGCCAACTAATGGGGCACTAAAAATATGCGTAATCTATGGTGAGATTGATCTAGAAGTCATATAAGGTATGTGAAAAAGTCATAACCAATGCCAACCTGCTGTTAAGGTCAGGGAGACGATGGGATTTCAGATTTAATAGTTTAACCACAAAAGTTGAGCACAACTGAGGAAACCAGTGCTGTGAAAACAATAATAGGTCGATAAGGTTGTTTGTGCTGGAAAAGGTGAAACCAATAAGCCTTTTGTTACAGATAAAGATTACATACCTGTGTGGCAGAAGGTGTTATCTTGAAAATAAAAAAGAAACATTCATGTGATAAACTAATGATGTATCCAGGGTGCACCACAGCTCTTGCCCAACCCTTTATTACCTTAAATTTGTTTTGAAATAAGTTGGATGGAAATGGATGGAAAAAATTAACCAACGTAAGACAGTAAAATCAATGGAATAATCTAGTATTATTTTGCCAACAACGGATACTGTCAACCTAAAAATCTGTGGCATACTCCAAAACATGACATGGTTTTCCATCTGGTATCAAAATAGACTTCTAATATTTTTTAAAATATGCCAAAATTTGTGTCAATATATTTGGGTATTTAAAGTAATCAGTGAAATTAGTATTTCACTCACATAAACACACACACGCCTTGGTATTTTTTGTAAAAGGCCAATCTGATTTTGATTTTAAAATTATGCCTCTTCTCAAACTTCTCAAAGTTCTTATATTTTTGGTCCTAACATGTGCGATAGTTCATTTGTGTGTAATAGGTTCACAGATCTGAAATTGAAGACACAAGGACAGATTTTTGTTATACAAGTGCTTGCACTGTAATGATCAAGCCCATTCATTTCGACACATTTACTTCTACACTGTTAAAAGCTGAAGAAAGGTTTACTGTGCATAAACCAACTAGTATTTTCATCAAACCCAGCTTGTACATCCAAATATGACCATATAAAAGTATTCTAAAAAACACACAATTTAGTGTGTTGCCAAGGAAACTTCAGCATGCAAAATAACAGTGAATGTAACTATTAGCCTGTTGGGTACCCATTCTCTTGCCTGAGCCACAGCAGCAGTAGATTAGCACACCCATGCTCTTTGGACATTTTGACAGAGAAGTGTTGGAGAAATTCTAAATGTAGTTTTATATTTTAACTGTTAGTGATGGTTTTTTCTTGGATCGGTCCTTTCTTGCTGGTAAATTTAGCAGATTCTGTGCAAAGGAGATCATTCATGAGGCCTTGGGTAATTCACTTTACTACTGGTGTACTAAAATACATTTTTGGTGGTGGTAGTGTGTTTGTGTGCACTTCAAATAAGTAACAGAATACTTTAAACTGTGAAAGTCCATATATGTTTCAAAGAGCTAAGAATATAGGGAATGTAAGCCCCTTTCAAAATCCGCAGAATATAAGCAACCGAGACAATCAGCAAAAGGTTACAAAAATTTCTAAGCATTAACTGCCCATGTGCCAGCGACTATCTGTTTGTGTTGGTAAGAGTTGCTCCTTTATTCTCTTTTATGTTGCGCTGTATGCTTCTTTTTTTGTGGAAATTAAGCCTATGATTACATATGGTATTGATGGCAACGCAACAAAGAGCCTATTCTCAAAGTACTGTGCAGAATCTGTGATTTCCACAGCGTTCTTCATGCTATACACAGACAGAGCTTTCCCCCAATCTGCCTCTGTCTCATTTTCGGCTGTACTAGTGCTTTTCTAGCAGGAAACCTCCGGCTGTGATGCCTGTGGGAGCAGCAGCGGCTTTAAGAAGAAAACAGATGTATGAAACATTTCAGAAAACCAAAAGCTTTGTTTCACTCTATTGGGTAGTTGACTATTTTATCAAACTATATCCATTTTTAGTTTATTTTTATTGGAACTGTATTCAGTATAACATGTTGTATCTGAAGCTACACAGAAGTATTGTGCATGCCCACACTAACTACTATACTTGATTTAGAGTAACACACAACATATATGTATATATATATATATATATATATATATATATATATATATTCTCAAAGTAAACCTTTCTTAAAGGTGTTAAATCCCACCTTTAAGAAAAAATATGTTTGTAGAATTTTTTTAAAAGCCACGGTGGAAACCTCCATCAGAACTTCAGTTGTTTTCTCATCTTGAGATGTGGCTTGACTCTGCTCCCTGTGACAGTGTGAATGCTTGCTCTGAACCTGCAGGAGGTCTGATAGTGATGGATGAATTGGGTCCATAGACAGAGCATCTTGCTGCAGCTGAGATAAGGAGCCCATAGGAACAAGCAGCTGTTGCAAAGGCCTGTCTGTCATTGATATCGCTGTTATCCACCACCTTTCCAGTGTTACATACGTGCCTCCTCTGGTGGTCAAGAGGCAGTGATTACCTCGATGGCAATGGTGGTCATGCTTCATAACTTCATAACATACAAGAGAGTCTATTTAAAATTTCCAATGTTATAAAAATAATTCTTGGTCTGAGCACGACACAAGAATAATTTTTCTTAAATTAGATGTTAGGTATTTAAAAAAGAAACAAGTGAATATGATTGTTTTTATAGTTCATGAGAAAATCTGCATCATGTGTTCGATATCCATTTACTCATGCATGTATATATATATATAATTTAGCAGAAAAAAAATGTAATTGAATTGGAGAAAAGCCAAACCAGTTCCAGTGCAGAAGAAAATAACACTTTAGCTTTGAGTAATACTGCACAATGGAAAGCATAAATAGCCCCATTTGGTACATCCCCTGACTGTCCTGCTTAGACCGGGGGGGTCTAAGCAACAGTGCTAACCACTTTTCAAATGGGTCATGTCAAAGTATTAAATATGTAAAGTTTATTTCAGTGACTAATTAATCAAAAGTTTATTTAATGAGGAGAATTATGAAATGCGCCATTCAAACAAATCAACATTTTTACTGTAACAAGTGATGAATAGATGGCTCGAATAAAAATATGTTTGATAGTTTGATATACTTTTTAAAAAATGTTTATGGAAATGTATATATATGTTATATTTAACTTATATTTCCTGTTATTATTAACTCAATTTTTAGTTAATTATCATAATAACACCTGCTTAAACATGCAAGTGAAGGACATAGCAGTTTCATTTAGCGTCAGTAACAAACTCACTTTAACATCCCACTTTCTCCCACTTGGTCGAGTGGCAAAACTGCTGACTGATGGTTCATAAGCTTCCTGCCATGGTGAGCACTGCTCTCATAGACATAAGCAACCAAAGCTGACTGGTGTTTGGCTCAAGCTCCCTGTTCTCTCTCTGTCTCATCCAGCAAAGATGCTTTTCCATACCAATCAAACCCAATGATGTGAAACTGAGTGAGGGATCTCTATAGTGGTTTATGGAGGCTCTAGGCTCACTCCCGTAAAGAAGCATCTGACTATTATTAACAGTAGGACTGAAAATGGAATTTAGCCTTAAAGAGAACTGCATTTCCATCCCAAAAGCCACGTGGAAGAAGAATTACACCTCTATATGTGAAATGTGCTGTGTCAACCTCTAAAGCCTTAGGAAACTTATTTCAGAGAGTAAGCATTCTCCCAAACACATAGCAATATATTATGGTGTATATGTAGAGCATGCTGCAAAACTCATCCAAGAATTTTCTTTCCAGTGAGACATCCTGTTTTGAGTTTCCATGAAAATAATTTTATTTCCATAAGACCAGTATACATACAGGTTTTACGGAAACTATGCAATACTACATACATGTACATTGTTTTAATATATATAAAACTCTTTATATGTGGATATAATATTGTTTGTAAAACAAAAATGTGAATGTATTGACAAAGATCTGATAAATTTTGACTTGCTGATGAAGAAATTTGATTTTTACAGGACTGACTGCTGCGTAGTATGAGGTACTGAATGGATATTTACTCATGTTTACTCTTTGTGCGTGGGGATGCTTGGCATGGACCTCGGGTTTAATGCAAGGGTTTTGACCCCAATCACAGCAGTAATTACTCTCCCCCGTCTTTTTGGTGTACTACCTAATTTGCATGCAAAGCTTCCACAGAAATACCATTAGTCTTAAAATAGCTGTGATTAAAACTCCACTTCTAATTGGACACGTCAACGTCCTTTTGGGGTGCATGCAAACCTTTATAATTTGTCCAAAAACTTTGCTTTGTGTTCTTTTGGTGGCTGGCTGGAAAATTTCACAACCAGCATGTTATCTGTCTTTTACCCAATATCAGCATCCAAAAAGCCGTCAAAGAAAGTGAGATATGATAATAAAATAAAGGACAACGGCTTTGAGATAAAAAAGAAGTGAAGTGTGACTGACTCCTTCTTCCTCAAGTGAAGAGAATTCATAATTGGTGTTGCTGATAAAAGCTCTGGATCACCCCAGCGCACGCACTCTCTTCAAACCTGCTCTCTTTTTCTTTCGCAGCATGCCTCAGCACAATGAATCACCCATTTCCTATTACACTATCTAAGGACACACACACACAAAACGTTAAGCGTCATCACCCCTGTTGTCACCCCACCACCAAAAACAGTCAATACTGATTCAACACCCACTCACAGTGTGTTTAAAGACGTGTGTTTTTTCTCTCAGAGTCTTGTGATTAAGTGAGACTGCGGCAAAAAGTATGATTTGGTGATTTTTTGTCTTTGTTATACTACACGGCAGATGTCTACAGCAGACATATAAAAATACATCTACCGTAAACTATTTCTAAGTCATTAAACTCTCAATTACAGATTTTTTCCATGTTA